CCGGCAGTTGCAGATTTCTGTAACACAAAATCCAAGGTCAGCTGGTGTTCGCTGAAATTGGGGCTAGTGGCTCCTCCAGCTCTGGCTGCACAAGAGTTTCCGTTCTATACCTCTGCTTTGTAACTCTTCGTTTTTTCCAAACTCTTGGCTTTTGGATGGATTTCCCCTCTGCCCCCCCCCGCCCAGCCTAACTGCAGCCAAATGTGGATTTCATTTTTGGAAAGTTTGAGCAAGGGCAGTTTGTCTGTTTTGGAATATGAGTATACTACTCATTATGAAAAGACTTGGTTTTTTTTGTTTTTAAGTTAAGATACGTGGAAGCAGAAAGTTAAGATGTACTGGAAGACATATTTGGGAGTTACTGAGGAAGAATTGATTTCGATAATACTGAACTATGGTCAACTGAAAAACATAGGCTGTGCATTCCTAGTTTGTTTTTCTGTCTTCCTAAGCTAAAACGTTACGGAAGAGGAAGGTTCTGCCATGTAGGTAGTGATATTTGAGAAAATAGGAAATAGCAGTTGGGATGATAAAACAAAAATAGCTGTCGTTCCAACTTTTTCTTATTACTTATATTTTACTTCTCTGTCCTAAAAATTGCTAACATTGAATATGTTTACTTTTCTGGCTGAGTAAACAATATAGATACCTCCTTCAGTCAAGAAACTTCAGCTTAAAATGTTTGTTCCTACTAATTTCTGTTCCTGCCTGATGCTGGCTTAGCACTGAGCCTGTTCTGGAGGTGTTACTCCTGCTGCGTGCGGGCAGCGGATTGCCACGCTGGTGTTTTGCCAGTGCAGGGCCCTCCGTAGCATCACCGCCTGTCAGATTACCCTGCTTGCACAGCTCTGAGGGATCTTTTCAAGCTTGATCTGAATATTCAAATTGATTTGGAAAAAAAATCTATTGTACTGAACATTCTTCTAATGATGACTTGTTAAAATAGTCTGTAGTACAGTTAGAGCAGGGTCACTAGGGAAAGCTTTTGTTAGCTGTCTATTTAATTTTTTTTTACCGTGTATTTTTTTTTTCTCTTTATGTGGAATAATTCAGTAATTCAGTAATATCAGTAGTCGTCTTGGCAGCATATAAAGAGTAATTGAGAAGTTTGGAATGGAAAGTATGCCGTGTTGTGGATTTGTATTGAAAACGGGACCTTTCTGAAATGCATTCATGCAGCTTCTTGCCCTGACATCAAAATTGCAGTAATTAAGTAATTACTTAAAAGATTTTGCTTTGTGCTGCTTTTATCCAGATTAAACAATGACATGGAGCTACCTGCTATATAACTTTCATTTTTGTCAACTTCAAAATGTTAAAGAAGCTTTTTGGAAAGGATGGTTATAAGTGTAACAAACAATTTGAGGAACTAAGTAGCTCTAAGAAGAGTCTTCCAACAGCATTTGAGACATAATGATAATAAAAGATTGTGTTCTGTCTCAAGCTTTTGTAACCAATTTTAATTTAAAAATAAAATCAAATTAAGTTAATACTGTTCTTTTAAAATGTGGCATTGTTATTGTTGCTTTATACTTTGAAGGAAGTACTATGAAATCACATTCAGCTTAGAATGAGGCTTTTCGTAACGTATTATTGTAAATGACACCCAAAGTTATAGTTGATGGCCCAGTCAAAATAATTTTACACTTTTAACATTTGAATGGCACCTTTATAATTTAATCAGTTGCAAAGTGCTCCCAGCTCTTACCATCTTAATTTCTTCATCTCCAGTTTCTCTTGAAGGGAGCACAGGCTCGACAGTGGAAGGAGAGAGGTGCCAGGGGCGTGTATGCCATACAGCCTCCCTTTTGGCAAGAAATGAAGGCAGCTGGGCTGTCATCGGGCATGGAGCTTGGTGGAGCTGCAGAGGCGTAACTCAGTTTAAATGCCGTGCATGGGAGAAAGTTGTGTATTACAATCTGATTGGGATAATTTTAATGGCCGTATATGACTAGCCATGGACAGGACACAGTTTCCTTAATCAACATAGCACACTGACTATAAAACTTGTCTAACTGTTACCAGACATCTTTCACAAGCTAATCCAAGTTTATTGATTCTAACAGATGGTGGTTGGAACCAGAATTACTGCTTATTTCACAAATGAGAAATTGAAAACTTGGGGTCACAGGACATCTCCTGGTCCATGGCTTCTAGAGGTTAACAGATCTATCTGTGAAACGGCAGGCTGGCGTGTCCCATCTTCTGCAGATGGAAGTATAGATGTTGGTCAGTGTATAGCTGCATCCCCGCAAATACCACTGGCTAAAAAGTACTCCTTTCTCAAATCTGTGGTGCAGTTCTACAATACAATACAATAATAAATACATACATGTGTATCTGTACCTTTAAAAAAAAAAAAAGGCCTTACTATATTTAAGGGTATTTTCTTCTGTTTAAAAAAAAAAAAGGGTCCTACTATAGTTAAGGATATTTTCTTCTTTTGTTACTATTTTAAGATTTATTCACAAGTGCAAAGCAAGAAATGTATTTCATTTGAGAGTTAAAAATTCAGTTTTCAAAATGCATTTCTCCAGGAGCATGTGTGTCCTGTGGCAAGCAGTCTGTAACGCCTGTAGACAGAAGAGCAAGAATTTTATTTACTGAAGATGTGGCTTACCATTACCTGTATCATTCCTTGTTTCATTGTCATCATTTAAAAAAACAAAACCCATACCCACAGAGTCTTCTGCAAGCACAGATTTTGGCTAAAAAAAAAAAAAGAAAAAAAAATCAACTGTGTTTCTTATGAAGAAAATGCCCTTTTAGACGTCACAAAACTTGTCCAGAAAAAGAGGAGAGCGCTGCTCCTCACCATACTGTGTCATCTCCCAACCAGGCATCTCTGTATCCACTGAAGTGATGAAGAACTGGATCATTTCTCCTGACTTGCAGGTTTATGTGGGTGTTTCAGTGTCAGTGGCCTGATCCAGCATGATACCAAGAAACTTTATGAATGAGTGGTGTTTGTACCAGGTGAATTCACCTGACCTATGCTTCACAGCCATGTTTGCCCATATAGATAACCGTGACTTGTGAAAGCATGAATGAGAAGGATGAGCTGATCTCATGTCATTCTCTGTCTTTCTGTTTCTCTACTTTCCTCCTTGTTTATAGCGTTGGATTCAGTCAGCTCCATTCACAGCAGTGCAATTACCAAAGCTATTTCAGATTTGCAGTACTGCAGAGCTGCCATACTTTTTCTCACTGAAGTTTGTTGGTTGTTTTTTTTTAAGTAGTACAGAGGTATTTAGCTAAATTGCACGGTTCTAAAAACATCGACAATTAATCTCTTTTTCCTGTAAGAAGCAATTACTCTTGAATTTTTATACATCCCAGTAATGTGAAAAAATTTCCCCAACTTTCACCATCTTTTTTACTTTTTTAAACCCTCTTTATTTTAACCTAGTGGCCCATTCTTTCTGTTAGATATTTTCATTTCCACATTTTATTAAATTATTCTTTTACTAATTTATTATAATGCCTTATACTTTTAAAAGAGACACTGTTCTGAGTTTAAAGAGCCAATTACAGAACTTTGTGCCTGCTTTGATGGGAAAGTCATAGTCTTCCGGCACTCCGACTTTTCCAAATAAACAAGTCCTTGGTGGCGTGAATACCCGAGGTGCGTTCTGTCGGACCACCCGGCTGACCAGAGGGATGCCAGACCCTGTCGCTGCAGTTGCAGGATCACTTCCACGGTCCAAGGTAGAACATGGATATCAGTGGCCATGCTACCTCCTTCTGCAGCCTACACTAGCTGTCCTGCTAGCTTTTGTGCGTTGCTAGAACAGGTACCGAGCGATGCGAAAGCCCTTTGAATTCTTTTCATGCACTAATGTGTGGGTTCATAAATGCTATTTTTCTTGTGGTGGCTGCTACAGTCATGCAATAATAGATGCTGAGAGCAAGCTCATATGTTTTAATAAGCAGACCCAAGCATAGTTGTTTTGGGTGTGCTATGAAAGTTTCCCGTTTTCTCCTGTGTTACCGTAGCCACTTACTGCTGATGTTTGCTTCGTGGCTTTGTGCCTAACTTGACTGCGAAAAGGGTTAGTGATTGGGTTTCTTGAGGGAGGGATTCATTGCAAATGAGTACACAGAAAGCATGGTATGAGAGAGGGTGTTTGGGTTCCCACTGCTTTCTTTGGCAGGGAACTATAGCCTTCCTGTTTATTTGTTAGTTAACAGAATAAATACTATCACCTTGGGTTTTCTTGAACACTTACAAGAAAAAAGTTAGGGTTAGGGTTTTTGAAGGATGTTCCTTTGTAGAAGATGAGTTCTAGTTCTGTCAGCAAAGGCCTTGCATGTGCTGTGATAAGCAGCCTCCACTCAGTCGATGTGATCCCTGGCAGTGGTCAGCCTGGCCCTGTAAAGTCCTGCTTGCACAGCTCTTGCTCTCCTGCGGGGCTGGCCAGTGCTTCCTAGGTCAGGGATAAATCCTGGTTGGGCGCAAACTGCCCTCTGCCAGCCTTCCTTGGCTGTCTTGGGCCTGCTTAGAGCATCTGCATATGTTTGCAAGTCTTGCTGGTGTGCAAGTTGTGCATGGCTGCGTGGTCCCTGGTGTTGGCAAGAGCGAGGAGGTGTGCATGTGAGCAGGATTTTGGCAGCCCCTGCTTCAGTCTGCTGCAGCTCGGGGAGAGCCACACCGTCCAGCTACACAAATAAATGGTGCTGGTTTATTGAAGGAGCTGCAAATAGTTTGCAGCTGATCTAGTCTGGTCTCATGGCTGACCCTGCTTTGAGCAGGAGGTTGGACGTAGATGACCTCCAGTGGCCCCTTCCAGCTGGAGTTCCTCTGGTTCTGTGGAAATTGTTTGTATGGACCTGTGCCTGTATATTGGATGTTTGCGTGTTAAAGTGACAAGAATGATGTGGAAAAACTTTTGAGATCTTTTTCTACAGTTTCTAAAGATGCCATAATTTTTTTTTTAATTTGCTGTAAACTTATTCATATTAATCTCACTGTATTTTTTTTTTTTTTTTTACTTCCTTAGTCAAAATATTATGGCCAGACATTACTGACAGAAGTTTACAAGCACCTGAATTTGATTGAATCGGACTACTTTGGGATTGAGTTCCAGAACATCCAGTCGTATTGGGTATGTACACTTCCCTGATGAATTTGGTATAATAAAAAGGTTGGGTGAACGAAGCTGCTTGAGTGTCAAAAGTTTCAAAGTCTGCTGGAGTCTCCTGTAGGATTGTCTCTTTGATTCTTGAAATCTGCTTCGCTCACCAGAGCAACAACAACTAATAAAGCAGAGGGGAGGAATCACATTCTATTCCTTGTTAAATCTCAAAAAACCTATAAAGCAGTTAAATAGTTGCTGATGTTTCTGCCTTCAGGGACATAGATAAAATCCTCCTTCTGAAACGGGAAACATCAACTCAAAGTGTAGTCTGTGGAGCGCTTATAAAATTGTATTACAATGTGTAATTTTGGTAGTGTTCATATTTTTCTTCAGTTAATTCAGTCTTCAATTAATTTCCCTGAAGGGCCATTATGAACCTCTTTCTAAGAAATAGAAACCTCAGCAGACATATAGACCTGCAAGTTTTTTAAATCATTGATCTAGATAAATACTGACACTCTGTGAGTCTCCTAGTCGCTTATCCTGTACCTTGCGAAGAGGACAATGTGGCTTCGAAATGAAAAAATGTTTCCAAAAATTGTGTCTTCATTGGTTTTTTTTTATTACTTTTTCTAGTTTTTGGACTTGCACACAGAAAATATGACTGAGAACATAGAGAATGCTAATAGCACTAATACACGCTGCTCTTGAGCTAAGGAAATACAGTAAAGCTTGTTTAGTTTCCGTTTCTTCTGCAAAGCATCCAAAGTGTTTCTGCACCTAATAAGGTTCTTAAGATCCTCAGCACTCTCTCAGAGAAGTAACTAGTAAAGATCAAACATAATTGTCTTGTTACAATTTTTTGTTTGGAGTCATGGGGAAAAGTTGAACATCCGGAATACTTTGCTTTAATTTTATGGATACTCCTTTTACAAGAACAACAGTAGTCTTTCTTTAAAAATGTGCTTGTCAAAAGAGAGAAATTTGTGGGAAATTAATATCGAGTAAAAAAACCTTAAGTAGGTAAGTAAGAGAGATGGACAAAGCATGAAAGGCAAAAAAAGTTGGACCTTGTCATGTTCTCCAGACCTTCTGTAACTCTGTAGCCTGGCTCCTGTCTACGGTCGTGTGTTTTGGCATGATTTCTGTCTTCTTGGCAGTGATGGTGTGCTTTTGCTGACTTGGCTCTTCTTCTGTCCAGATGAACTTTAAGCATGGATCAGTGGTTTTTCTATTGATGCATGATAAATGTCAGTACAAATAGATAAGTACACTTTTTTTAAAGCAAAGGAATTGCTGCATTACTGCAGTGAGGAAGAAATGTATACTCATAAATTACTGCTTTATTTGAATTTACTTTTGATGTTTTCATATTGCATTCAAATACAAATGTCAGTTTGTAATTTTTTTTTTTTTCTTTAATTTCAGATTTGGCTGGAACCTATGAAACCTGTTATTAAACAAGTACGGAGTAAGTAGTTTTAAAAAAGGAAGTTTTCCTTAATTTGCATCTGCTTTATGTGGGTTGCTTTCACAATTATTACTTGATTTACTGGTTATGCTTCCCTGAAAATTGTACTTGGTAGGAGTGATAGTGGTTCCTGTTCGGGCATGCAAACCTGACGTTTTTAATATGTAGTATGGAGTGGGTGGAATGGAAACTTAATGAAGGTATGATTCTTCCTCTGTGATAAATACCTAGATAGATTGGGTCAGCTGGTGTTACGTTTAAGTGAGACATGACATTTGCCATTTCTGAGGTTTTGTAAGTTGTGTTGTCTTACGGTGGAAAGAAAAAGGAGTATTCTGGCTTATTGTACCCGTTGCACGGGAGGAGGTAGCATCTGCAGTCGTGAGATCCTGTCTGAGAGCTGATGCACCTTTCAGAAGGGCTACAAAAAGCTGCACTCAGGGCTTGCTGACATGCAGGGAGTTTCAGCAGGGTGGGTATTTCCATTTCATTCTCAAAAACTCTCTCGATGTGCTCAGGAACAGTTTTGCTAAGAGAGCAGAGGTAGGGATCTCCCACCTGGTGGGTGGCTGCAGCCTCAGAGTTCCCTTTGCTTCGGCTGTGAAATTTGTTTCTGCTCCTTGGCCAGGAGGATATTGCAGTAGTGATGCCATGTTTGCTTTATGCTACTCTAAAAAGTAATATGAAGTGCACTTTAAAGGCTAAAAATAATTGAAGAATACAATATGCTAGTTCTTCTGATGTTGAAAGATTAGATCAAACTTTTTTTCCTTTAGAACAGGGTTAAGCTGTTTGCTTGTTTTCTGTTTCTGATTGTAAAGGCTTTGTGGAAGAGCAAGGATCAGGAGGGTGTGGTGGATTCCTACTCCATTTCAAAATCTTAATTGAAAAATGTTGAAAATCAGTGCTGAGGGATAGTTTTTAGTTACTCTTCTGCCTAAAGCTGATTGCCAGAAAATTAAAAAAAATCACAAATTCTGGCTAGATTTTTTTGACTTTAATGTCATGGTTTTAACTTTTACCAACATTGTTTTTTAAGCAGAAGAGCCAAATCAGCTATAAAAGAAGGGTTCCTTAGGAAGAAGCTTATAAAAGAAGGCTTCCTTAGGAAGTCTTTCACTCTCTATTCCCCCTCCTCCCCTCCCCCCACCCCCCATTGTTGGAGTGCCATATTTTTATATACTCCATGCAGTTACGCTTGGTTTGTTTCTCCAGTGCTCCGGGCTATAAGGTATTATGTTTTAGTCAAAAGATCTGGTGGACCACAGGTCTGTGGTGCTGCTTAGTTACTCCTTCTACATCCTCTTCTATACCACGTAAATTGGGGAAGCTTGGTCTTAGACCATAGACTGATGGCTGTGTTCCCTGATGGTACATATATTGTTCTTAAATCATCTAAAACTATGGGGATGTGCTAAAATTTATGGCTGCTCTGCTGCTTGGTGATCTACCACCCATGTTATGTTGCCAGTGACACTGAAAGATTTCTTTTAAAATTTTTTTAATCTTAATCTGTAGGAGACCCCAGTCAGTTGTCTGGCACATGTTCAAGTTCTGAAATAAATTTTAAATTTGTAAAGTTTTGATAGCTTGGATGAGAGATTTTTTTTTTTCTCTTTTTTCTTTTTATGCTAGTTGAATCCCTTCCTGGCATTCTTCTGTTTTTAAAATTGAAATGAGATAGGACTGTAGAAAGCCTTGAAAATGTTTACAGAACGTTAATTGCATGTATAGTAATTTAAGCTGTTCTTTCACTGAATCCAGTAGCTGACATGATTGCACAGGAACATCTTCCTAAAATGTCCCTTTGACAGTACAGCTGAATACAAAGCCTTAAGAGGAGAATTAATTTAACTACTTGGTAATGTGGACGTTTCAGGAGTAAGGGACTAAGCAAGCTGCAATAACGGAAAGACATTTACTTCTGACCATACAGCTGTGCAAGGCTAGCCACATCTGCTGTGGCTTCAGCCTCTATGCTCCTCAGCCATACCGGGGCTGCCCTTCCCCGGTGCCCCTCTGCCTGGGCTCGCTGCAGGCATGGGTAGCAGCTGGGTGTAGGTGGGCTAGCCTGGCAGCGATGCACACAAAGGCAGTCTGCTCCCTTCTGTGTGCCCTTGCTCTGTGTGCGGCTGCTGGGGGGGGGTGTTTCCCAAGGGAAAAGTGAAATTCTGGAAGAATGAGATGTGGTGAGTTTGCTCATGTTGTCTTTCCTATATTCTCACTTTAAGAAGTTTTGTTGAGGTTCTTTTTTTTGGGGGGGGGGGGGGGTTTTGTTTTTTTTTTTGGAATTTAATGATTTTGGAGTTAACTGTGTAACTTTTAGTCCAGCAGTAGGGGAATGTTAGATGTTATCATGGGCTTTAAGGTAATACAGCTCAAACCTGTTAGTTTATGTTGATGTCGATTGCTGTGTAGCTGTAGGTGTGCAGTTCTGAGTCTTTGACATGCTGTCTAAAACAAAAGCTCTAGGTTATTAACATTTACTTCAAATTAGTCTTGGCTTATGATCTATTCTGAGATATATAGAACTTTGTGTTGTATGATGAGGATTTTATTTTTCATTAATTTCAAATGAATGCAGTCAGTTTTAATACCGAACCACTCCAGAAGGCAAGGAGTTTAGATCCAAATTTTCACCTTCCTAACAGGTGCACAATATCAGGTTGGCATTTGGATACCTTCTCTGAGGTGTTGCCAGTGTTTTGTACGGTGTTGTGTTCACCATACCCACATGGGTAATTTTTCCCAGCTTCTTTTTTTTGTTTGTTTTTGTTCTAGGTTTTGCTCAGATTTGGCCTCTTAAAATAAATTCTGCATCTTGGTTAAGACTGGGCTAGGGTTTCTTTTCCTAATTAGAATGGGACTTATTCATAGAGGAAAGGTGAGATTAAAAAAACAAAAAGAGGAGAAGCTGTGCTACAGAAGCAAATATGTAGTGTTATGTTTTTAATTTTTAATATTTACTGTCATTTGATGTAAGTGATGCTCAAAACACTGCCAAAATTGCTCCCTCAGCAATACTTTCCAGTTGATTGGCGTGAATAATGTGCAGGTCTGTTCCTAACCTTGTGAAGGTCTTCCAAAGGCTCAGAGTATTTTCAGAAATTTGATGTAAAGTTTTGGTCTTTTTACCAGAATCATTAAAACTGTTTATTTTCCTCATTTGGTACATCTCAAGAACTTTAAAATCCTTAGTATGGTTTTAGTCTCTGCCAAATGTGAGCTTTGTGTATCGTTATAGGATGTTATTTCCAGCCTCCTTTCATTTCTAGATACTACACTGTAATTAGAATGTGGATTTTATTTTTTTTTTTGTTCACCAAAGCTTTGGTAATTCTGGTATCAGAGGCTGGGAGCTGCTTTTGTGACAGCTGTGATAGTCTGAGAGTTAGTTCTCCCAGTTACTTGGCAGAAAGCAAAGTTTGTTATTCCCCTGTTAGCAAACGAAAGGGTGAGTGAGTGGAGGAACATTTGGCGTATGGGAATCAGGTATTCCGGACAGAAGAAATCAGTGTACTTTGGGGTTGATGGGGTTAAATTGGACTTTGTCAAGCTTTAAGAGATCTTGGTGTTTAAAATAAATTAAAGCAGGCTGGCTTGTGCTTAACCAACATGCTCAAACAATTTTTTTTTTTTTTTTTTGGCTAAGCTTCCTTTGAAATGGCAGCAGCATGCAGAGTCCTGGGGTGGATGGGGCTGGAAGGCACCTCTGGAGGTCATGCGTAAGCAGGGCTGGCTTTGAGGTTCAGTCAGGTCATGAAATACATGGATATCCGGCCCATAGCACCCAGAGGAGAAGAGTCTAGCAAGAAGAGGGGTTGCAGTTTTTACCTTTCCAGGTCTTCCTCTGCCTTCTATAGGGGGTCTGTCTTTCCTCGGTTTGCCCTGCCTTTCTCTGGCTCAGCACACTCAAGGCAGACTGTCCTCGCTCCTCGTGGGAAGGTGCACACTGGGGACAGGTCTTGGTCTGTCTCAGTTGGGTGTAGATGCCGTCGGTGGAGCATGGGGCTGCAGTGGATGAGCGGCGGTCCTCTTGTCCGGGGGATGCTGCAAATGTGAGATGGATGCTCAGTAGGCTTCTGTAAGCATAGGTTGGCTACTGCTCTGACTGCCTGCAAAATACTCAGCCTTTTCTGCTTTAAGACAGGAAAAAAAGCAGCAGAACGGTGGTGCCCAGTTGTGGCATGGTAAGCAATTGTGGTCCCTTGTAATATTTCTCTGAAAATACTGGTGAAACAGGGAAATGTGGGCATCGAGTCAGCTGGTTCAGCAGACTGAGTCATGACGCTGAAATTGTTAACGCAGTTCAGTTGCAGTTGGATTTTTTTGTTGTAAAGTGTTACACAGAGTGTTATGGACTATTTCAAATAGTTACTTAGGATTCTGTTTAAATTTAAATGTTAAATTAGTTTTCTCCCTGTTGTTGAGATTGACAAGAACAGTGTTAAAATTGGGAAGAAACGGGTATTAACAGGCATGTCGGGAGCAGGCTGCAAATGCACTTTTATCTCTGTGGGGAGCCAGCTGGTTCCGGCTTGTGGATTCAAGTCCATTGACAACTCTGACGGTGGCAGTTGGTGTTGGGAGAGCCTGTGGGATGTGTCTCCACCCTCTTCCCCTTCTGGGAACCTCTCACTGGGTCATTTGTAATGCTTTTGTATGCAGTCAAGTAGTTGCTTTGGGGTATTATAGCTTTCATGTTGCACAAAACTATTTTTATAGCATTCAGACTGCAGACTTGCCTTGGAAGTAGTATAGACAGTTCCTCTGCAAACTTACCTGCTGTATCTCTGTTGACATGGACAATCTATACCCCATAGGCCCACTATAGTTAGCTGGCAAGCTGAAAGCTGGCTTAGGCTTTGTGCGCGTTGTATTTCTCTGCATGTTGGAAAACATAATATGCATGTGCTTATGAAGAACAAGGGTTTTTTTGTGAAATGACTCATTTTTCTTATAGGACCAAAGACTACAATGCTTCGTCTAGCTGTAAAGTTTTTCCCTCCAGACCCGGGTCAGTTGCAAGAGGAATATACTAGGTAAAGTATTTTTCGATAAATTTGATTTGCATTACCTACTGAAATAAAAGGAATGTCGGAGTAGGAGGGCATTGCATCTGTTTCCAAACAAAACTTATATTGAAGATGAGCAAAAGAGCACTTTTCGTTAGTGTAATGGTTTTAGCAGACATATGTTGGCAGATGAATGTTATCAGAAAAAATATTTTTCAAAACAGAAAACAGTGCAGGTTATGGCTTGCCAAACATCACAGTGTCAAAAAAGACAGGGTATAGAGGAAATACTAAAATTTATAAACAGTACCTGTATAAAATAAGTAGTACATAATTTATCATTTAAACTTCAGAAGACCATGCTTTAAGTATTCTACAACTAGCAAACATGCTTTACTGTTCAAGTTTTTTACCAATGCTCATCATGGGTCGCTTCTGCTGATTGCTAACTGATTTTTGGTAAATTAAGCTGACCTATCCACTTGCTAGCACCTGGGAATGTGGTTTGAAGCCTGTGCCTGTAACAAGGACATTATCCATGATTTTAGTGTTTAAAGATCTCATTTAGTGCTTTTCCCAGTTTTACTACTATTAATTGGAATTCCTTTGAGAGATCCGCAGAGGTTCCTTATTATCCTTCAGACTTATTTTAGAGCAAACCAGCATGGTAACTGCTGTGATGCAATGTGCTTGTCTCTTAAAATGATAAATGCTATCTAAATATTTCCTTTGCTCCCCATTTGCTTACGTTAATTGCTGTTTCTTGTAGGAATTTCATTAGGAATACAGCTTTTTGGAGCAGGAACTGTATTGTTGTCTATTTATGGAGTACTTATCATGGAATTCTGATCTGTGCTTAGAGTGTCTAGGTATTTCATAATGCTGTTAATGATACATACACGTTATTGTGAGTCTGTTGAAGAAACCAAGATAGCTCAGTCAGATACGCAGAAAACAGCATACTTTACATAGTCTTTAATACATATCTACAGTACTTCAAAATTTTTTTACAAAGCACTTTAAAAATGTATACCTTTTATTATCTTTTGGCTCAAGAATGTGATACATAATGTTTTACAATTCTTTAAAAAAATTACTGTTCTCTTTCAGGTTGTAATTCAGTAAAGAATATCGATCAGTCTGTCAGTTCAAATGTTTATAGTAATAAATTGTTACCTATTTACTGGAGTCCTTATTGCACCTTCTTTCAAGTAAAAAAGAAAGCAGGAAAGACTTGCCAGCATTACATTCATAAAAATGTATTAAAATTGGTTTAGGTTACTAAGTCAGTCCTTATCAGCACACTTTCAAGGCTGCCATGTTTTTGTTCTATCCTTGTATGTTTTGCAGGCAGCTTATCACTTACACAAAACTGTTACACAGAAATCTATTCCTCTTTAACAACTGATTTGGGAAATACTTCAGTTAAATGAGTGTAGTGATTTAAGAAAACAAAATTTAATTTCTTACTGTCTTTGTAGGCTGCTAACATTACAGTCCTGGAAAATACAAGCACTGAGTAAATAAATTGAGTGCTAGCAGAAACACTCAGTTGTTTTTCCTAACAAGATACTAGATCAGTGATGTTCTCCCATCTTTATTGTAACAGATAAAGTCACTTGAACTATTCATTAAGTTTCTTTCCAGCTAAAAACTACAGCTACTGTTACTTCACAGATCAAACTTGTTATAAGTGTGGTTTTTCTTCTGCTTCCTTCTTCCTGTGTGTTCATTTATGCTGATAAATTGCACTGGATTAGTCACGGGTTGTTTGGTTTGATTTGACCGTCTATGGTAGCAAGGCTTCTGTGTTACCTTGTTCTTGGAGAGAGGAAGAATTAGGAGATGCTAGTTTTATAAAGGACTGCTCAGTTGTTTTAACATTCTTTGATGTGTCAAGGGGGTACTTGTAACTCTCTCAGGTACCTGTTTGCATTGCAAATCAAGAGAGACTTGGCAGAGGAACGACTGACCTGCAGTGACAACACAGCTGCTCTTCTGGTCTCTCACCTTCTGCAGTGTGAGTATCTCGACTGTGGTGACATCAGGTGATGTTGCCATTGCTAACCCAAGTTACAGCGTACAGAAGCTTTTGGTAACAAAAAGCATTTTCCATCTCACAGTATTTCCTTCTGTACATGCAGTAAACCCATTGATAACACTGGATTATCATCAGGGCTAGCTGTGGTGAGGAACAGCTGGTGCTTATGTGTGAGATAACTTTGACTTTGTGGAGACTATATGAAACCAAACCCTTTGTGTATTGTCTGTTTTCCCTGGTCTGCAAACAGAGTCACTAGCATTCCTCATCTTCCAGACAGCTGCTCCCATCTGCCTCTGTGCTTCCTTGGCTTTGTTTCTCAATTTCCCTGTGGCTGGGGGGAGGTAAGTGTATAGACTGGGCTGAAATAAACCTAGAACAAGTTCAACAGTAGGGCTGTCAGCAGCTTTCATCCTTGCTGGGATTGCAAGTGGAAATGGGAAGCAATTGGTTTGGAAGCTCTCCATGTTGCTGCTCGCTCAGTCTGTACGTGCCTAAAGACCTAAAAATGTGGCCTTTAAGATGAGTAGGTTGAAAACCTTGAATGGGTTCAGACACCAAATCAGCTCAAGCAGCAGCCAAATCATAGAGTGTTTACAAATCTGTAACCTGAGCTGCAGAAATGGGTTTTTGTGCCTCATTGCTGGCTTGAAACAAAGGCTATTAAATGATACTTCTTCACATGTTCACTGCTAAATAGTTATTAGTTATATAATTCTGCATTGTAATATAATAATACAATTATAATAATATTAGTTATGGTGATTTTATTGGAAAAGCAAATCTATCTTGTGTGTGTGTGCCATCAGTGAGTGACACAATTAAAATTTGCTCATGATTTTCCAGCAGTGCAGTGTGGAGCTGGTGAGGAAATCTCACCATCTGGCCTTGCTTAGATTGATTCTACCCTACTAGAAAATTAGAAGTGAGAAAGAGTATGATTATTTTTAACACAAATTTCTTTTGAAAAGTGCTTTTCAATTTTTTTTTTTCTTGTTTCATATGCTGGCTTGATTTTAAACAGGATATTGCTGTGTTCTTTTTAAGAACAGATGCCTTGGATGAGATTATTAATTCATTTAATCCAGTCTCCTTTCTCTGACAGTAGTTAATAGCAGATGCTATGGGGAAGCCCTCAGAAATGAAGCAAGCATATGGTGATACTTCCTTTGCTGCATCCATCCAGTGATCTTTGCATGTGGCCCTTCTAAGTCAAAGATTGACTCTGCATCTCTTTGTTTGGTTGCCCTTGATGAACTTTGTTTCCATGCATTTGTCTAACTTTTGAATTTGCTTATATTTTTGGCATCCTCCCATGAAAATGAGCTTCACAGCTTAGTTTTGGGGAGGTTTGTAGGATAACTTATATCCTTTTGTCCTTTTAAAAGTTTTGCATTTTAATTTAATATTGTAACTTCATATTTTACTATCAGAAAAAGTAAATAACTTTTTAAAAAACTTAATTATTCAACTTTGTAATTTTTATATACATCTGCTGTATGTTCTGCCTGCCTCATGCTTTTCTTTTCCAAGCTAAAGACTTCTGGTCTTTTCTGTCTTATCAGATGGAAGCTGTTCTGCACTTTTTGCTTCATGTTTTTTTTCTTCTGTAAATCTCTTCCTAAATCCACAGCATCATTTCTGAAAGGTGTGAATATGTGAAGGGGAGACCAAAACTCAAGATGTAGGCGCTGTGGGGGTTAATAGTCACATAACACTGCTTTCTCTTTTTGCTATGTATTTATTTTTGGACAATTCCTAAAATTAAATTTGCCCTCTTCCCAAGTAGGCTTGTCCATAACTATTTTACATATATTTAGAAAAATTAAATTGAAATGTCCTGGTTTGGTATGAGCTATCTGTAAGGAATAAATGTTTAGACCACCTCACAGGACTTCTACAAGGCTCACATCTTTGACTGTAAAGAAGTCTTAAGTTTTCAAAATGATGTTCAAATACTGCTATAATCCCCAGGAAGTCTGCTTGGGATAAATGTGAGGTTTTGTAAAATGTAGCTGGATACAAAGCTTAATGCACAAATTTGAAGCACTTAAAGGAAAATACATTCTGGCTTTTGGGGTCTCTGAAGTTCTTACCAAGTATTTTCTGCCATTGTTTCTTTTGCATTGTTTCTTCTTATTCTAACATTGTTTTGTTTTCTGTAATAGCCGAAATAGGGGATTTTGATGAATCAGAGGATCGAGAACACCTTAAAACAAACCAGTATTTGCCAAACCAGGAAAGAATTGAAGGAAAGATTCTGGAGTTCCACAGGAAGCATGTGTAAGTGAGAATTAATGGATACTGCTAATGTATACTCCTGGGGAGCAGGTGAACTCTCATGGTGGAGGTTGAGCATGCTGTGTGATAAGATGATATAAGTTGTATAAGTTAAACACCATTTACATCTAGCAAGAAAAGTTGGATGTAGCAATAGTTACATAGTAAGGACAGAGTTGTTGGGCAGTAGTTTTTCTCAAGGGATTTTCTTCAGTGCACCTCTAATAACATACCAAAGAAAGCTATCATGAGCTTGTAATAATGGTTTTAGGCAAAATCATTCTTCAGAATTTCCAGTCTACAAAGTTTACGTTCAGCTTGCTATCAAATGCATAGGTCTTGATTTCTAATTATTTAAATAAAAACAATTGCATTGTACTCATTCTGAACTCATTAAGCATAAAGGAGACGGAGAAGGATGGAGAGAGTGGGGGAGAAATAACTTTCATCAGAAATTTATTTAATCTCACAGCTGGAGTATTTTTGAAATAAGTAAAGTTTATTAGGGACAAAGAAACTATTTGCCACAAATATAAAATTAATTCCAACATGCAGTCAGGAACTGCAGAAACGAGTGCTTTGTTATTTGAAATGCCCACTACTCCCACCGTGTGCATTCAGTGTACAGTAAGATTGTGTGTTTTACGGTCTAATCTGGCTGGTCTTAAAATGTGAAGATCTGCTTGGTATGTGCAGTGTAAAATATTTTGATAAGGAAGAAGATTTGGAGCAGACAGTCAACATGGTGCTTATGAAAGAGAAGTCAGCCTACGGGGAGGATCTGTTGTGACCAAAATACTATGGGGAAGATCAGGGTTTGCATTGCCTGATCTGTATTTGCCACAGCTTTGTTCGTATAGGCTTTTAAACACACAATGTTGATATTGCTGAGAAATTCCAGACCATTACCTGCCATAATGGTCCTAATCTTGCTTGTGCAGTTCTCAGAGCTGACAGGTTAAATCAAGATGAGGTGTTTGATAAAATGGTGATAGAGGTAGACCCATAGGTCTTTCTTTTCTGTAATTTTTGAGACCTTGCATATTAGGATTTAGCAATTTGAAGTGCTTTTATTTGTTGTGAATATCCACACCACAGTTCATTGTGCATGGTTATGCGTTATAATCCAAATACTATATTAGAAATTTAAATTTTCCTTTTGCTCTACGTGGGTCAACTTGGGGATTATTGTCGACTGACTTTCTTTTAAGACAGAACAAGGAGATTTTTCAGGGCAGTGTCTGTGTTTAAGGCTAAGACACATCCTGTATTATTAGAAAATCAGTTCCTGAGAATTTCAGTATTTAACTATTTGCTTTTTACGGTGACTCATTTTCAGTTGTACTGAAATTAGCGGTACTGATGGAACTTCAGCTTTGTTGATTCTTGATGAAATCAGGGGTTTGTTACTTTTTTGCTGCTTTTGAACCTTTGAGGTGCATGTGGAAATGATGAAGGAACAAACTAAATGTTGTTTTGAAGCAATTTGAAGTAATTTCGAAGTAAATTAAAATGTATGCTAGGATTCTTCACCTTGGGAGAAGGTAACTGGGTGAGGGAAACCATTAATTGCACAGAAATATTTCATTATTTTTCTCATGTCAAAAGAAAAGTGCTGAAACAATTGGGCAGTAACTTCAAAGCAAATTAAAAGCAGCAGAGGAACATCCTTTTCATACAACTCGTAACAACATTGTGAAACTTACTGTTGCAAGACGCTGTGGACTCTAAAGCTACAAATGGCTTAATGAAAGGGTTTGATGACATCATGCAGTATAGGCTGATGGCTTTCAAATTTGAGATGAAATGTGTGATTTTGTAGTTCTGGGATAAGTACATCCAGACCATGCACAGAACAGCCCTTTGTTAATCATGTGCCTGGATCCGACTGGGTTGCTTCTGATGTTTTCTTGGTTTACTTTTCTTGATGGAAAGGTCATGACTATCTTCTGAGTGAGTCAGGGACTGGTAATTTTATTAATTGGGTTTGAGCTTTTTTCAAACAAGTTACTTCTAATCATTCTTTACAGTAAGGAAAGTTTGTATTCTTGCTTGTCAGGGAGAAGTCAGAGGAAGGTTAATAAGAAAGATTCCTTGCTTCATAAGTGTACTTTTCATTAGTTTAATGAGAATTGCATCTAATACAGCCATATTATTAAAAGCATTGCAAATCTTATTTAGAAGTGTATGCTCAAACCATGGTAAGATTAAAAGCTGAGGTGTGTGGTTAGGAAAGGTTCCAATGGAAGGTTAGCGATACCTGACTACCCTGAATGTGTGTTTTAAATCCCTATGTGCCTTTGGAAAAATTTTTGTTAGAGATGTAATTTTGGAAGCACTACAATCCTAAAAATAGCTGTGACTTCCTTACATGTCTCTTCTCTCTTCCCTTACCCAGGGAGTATTGGCCACCCTTTTCCATTTTTAGTCGGAGTTGTGAAGGTCCCATATTTTCTCAGAGTTTAGACAAATTTTTCCTCATTTCTGTTCCAAGGACCAAGCAGGAGCATGAGCCTTGGGCATTCGTCTCCTTCCTGGCGATGTGCAGTGTGGTTAAATGGACAAAATGCTTCTCTCGCTCATCATCCTTGCGTGTCATATTTTTATTTTTATGTTTTATTTTCATTTTTTATTTCCTTCAGTAGACCTTATTATTCCCCACTTACCTGTAGCAGACTGATGTTTTCTTCCACTGATGATTGCTTTTGACAGAGACCTCTCATATACACAGATCCTCCAGGAAAAGAAGCCCATTTCTGGCAGGATGGCTCATCTCCAGATTGCTACTGCATCATCTTCTTCCTGCCTCAGTTTTCCTTCTTTACAGCCCTTGCTTTGCCTTGAATACACTTACTCATACACCAGTTTACAGCGGGTTTCTCTGTCACATCAAGCTGGGAGCATCGATTTGCCTTTCTCGGGCTGGCGTTGCAGCAGGACGCCTTCTGGTGCCATACATGAGTTGGGGGAGCAGGAGGATGTGTATGCCTTTGCAGAGGGTGCTCAGTCTCTTTGGATGACACTATGGAGTGTCTCTTCACATCAGAAAGTTGCGGTTTGATTTTTTTTTTTTAATTGCTTCACTGTAGCTATTAGAAGTGGTAGAACATAAAGCTGAATAAAACAATCTGTGTATTTAATCCATTCTGTATCAAAAGAAGAGAAAATATTTTGAGAATGTTGTATTCAGAAAGATGGGAATTGAAAGCTTATTTTCTATTAAATATCCTTTATTTTTTTTCTTTCACTTTTACAAATGCTTTCTTTTACTTTCACAAATATAGAAATATTGTTTTTATATTTAACTTTGCAAATGTAGTAACAGTAAACAGGATGAGTTATATTTTTGGTATAGCACATTACTTAGTTGCTTCAGCAAGAGCCTGAATTAACGTTACTTATTTTATTTCTATAGTTTATTAAAAAAACCCAACTTTATATTTTGAAGATGGTGTATTTGTGGTGGTGCAGTTAAATCCTAGCACCCCAGACACTTAAAATGCAATGTTTACTGCCTTCCTGCAAGTAGTGTGAGTAGAATACTTGCTGCAGGGTGAGTGTAGTCCAGAATTAAACATAACATAATTTGCTTGCCTTCAGATGGCTGTGGTTTTTTTGTTTGTGTGTATATACATAAACCAGGAAAGAAATAGAAGATTTGATACATTTATAGTGACATTTACTGTTATCCCTCATGTCTTTTCACAACTTGTTAGCCTAGTTGTCCATGATTTAAATTCTTTAAATTGTTTGTAAATTAGAAGAACTATAACATTAGGTTGCTATGTAGTCTAAACAATTTCTACACATGCAGCGTTTTGACACTTCATCTTTAAAATTCTGTATTAATCACTGGTTTTAAATGCTCTGTAAATCGCCTGACATTTAACAGCATTTATTTTGAATCGATTGCCCTGATTGCCATGTGAATATTGTAACACACCACCAGTATTTGTCTAGATGGATGTACGAAAGGAACCTTTACACTAAAACCTGTTGCATTGACAGCAGTTTTTGCTGGAAAATACTTGTAATAGATAGTCTGTTGTCCATTGACCTGGGGAAGATTAAGTAGATTTATCTGCTTAATGGATGAACAAAATTAGACCAGGTTGTTTTCAGGCTGGTCTGTGCAGCTTAGTCTGCAGCAAACAGCTGAGGGTAATTACTCTGAAACTGCTTCTCATTTGTAACTGTTTGTGGTGCAGTGTGAGCTGCCCAGCATTGCTCCTGGCTTTCCCCACTCAAAGCTCTTCCTTCTTTGGTAGGTACAGGCAGGTTGTGTGCATGAGAACACTCTTAAAATTGTTTTGGTTTTTTTTTTTATTCTTTCTGTGTTGTGCTATGCTTTGGATCATATCTAATGGAACATAAAATAACTGTCAGTGGTTCTGCATCAGTTTTACTGGACTGTTTATGAAGAATTTTTAGTACTACATAGCTCCAATTTTCTAGTTGCCATTTCAAACAAATATTTGTTTCCTTTCCCTTCCAACCCGCTTTCCCAACCTCCGACAACCTTAGCACCCTCAGCATCCTCTTTAAAAGACAAAGCACCACTTTCATTCTTAATGTCGTTGTATTCAGAAGAATTATAGCAGGAATTAGTGTGGGTGGGAGTTACACGCAGTGCTCTTGGAGTGTAACTCAGAAAGCTGTGGCCAAAATTAATATTTATGATCTATCTTTTTTGTCTTGTATATGTTTAATAAACAGGAACCATGGTACTTCAGCTATTTTGATGCAGTTAAGGAATCTATGGAAGAAATGCTAGTAACACTTAATGCCAGTATAACAACACTTGTTCCAGCATTACTCATTTCAGTAAGGGAAGAGAAATCTTTTTTCCAGAGTAAGCTCTTAGACATAACTAGTACATGTGGTGTTAACACTGGTAGAAGTGTAACTGCAAGACTTTATATGTAGTTTGGCATTTCTTTTTCCATTTGAAATCAGATTTTTCTTCCTCTGTGTGTGTTCTTTACAATACCTTTATACATACATGGTCATGTAATACTGACATTTGGATAAGGTTGAAATATGGACCGAACTTGTAAAGTTAGGAACTTCACTGAATCGCTGCTTTCTCCAGTTGGCAAGAAGTTTTTGGGTTTCCTGTTGTAGTGTTTTAGATTTATTTTTTTTTTTTCCTTCCAGAATGAATAAGGCAATAGAAAACTGTTGAAATCCTATCGTCAAATGTATGTGCATTCAGGCTTACTTTCTCAGTGCATTTTTGTGTTATGTGTGTGTTTAGTCTAAGGAGCATTTTACTAAGAATCAAAGAAGCATTGTTTCTTCTGACAACTTCCATTTTTAAAAGGTTAGCATACTAAATAAGTTTCGTAATTGCACTCTGAATTTTAGAGACAGTTCCTACATGCAGTTAATACGTATTGTCGTCATCCTTGTTTCTGATAAATTCAAATGTAATAATAATTTACTTTAATATTCTCTTTATATTTAAAAGAAATGTATATGGAGCAAAAAAGCTGTTTAATCTAAAACAGGACTATGGGCAGGTAGAAGGAGATATTTTTAAGGAGCATACCTAGAAAGGCAAGTTAGGGTAGCAGGAGAATTTATTTAGGACCAATGTTGTGGTTGGCACTACATAGTACACAAAAATAGGTCATGCTACAAATAGTTTATCATCTGTTTTAATGAAATGAAATACAGTTTTATGGGAAGGAAGGCCATTTCTTGGAAAAGAGGATTTTTAAAATTTGTCTTTGTGTGTGCAGGAATCTAATCTGATTTCAGCACTAGTTGGTGTAAATAGAATAATAATAAATTTTTATCCCCTGTGTGTCTTCCTTGTACATTTACATTTATCCTAGCGAACTTGCACATCGCAAGAACAATTCCATCAGTGCGCTAGTGTAGGTGGCTTGTGTGGCACTTGCTTGGAAGTAATGTAATATTTATTATTTTTAATCATTTTCAGCAGGGATGCAGGGGTCATTTTATACAGCTGTGGCTGAAGCAGCCTCACTGGTCCCAGTGCCCCGGGCAGGTCCTGTGCTGCTTGTGTTTCCATGAAGTGAGCACAGGAGAGGGGTCTCCTGCCTTAGCTAGTTCTCTTGGACTGTATTTATGCCTAAATTGGGCAGTAGTGTTGCCTGGCAGTATGTTTTTAGTTCAGAGACTACCTTAGGTAACAGGCTTGTGTTTGTAATAAGGACTTTTTTACTTTGCAGCGGAATTGGGGCACGTTCAGAAGCAAGAACTCCTTCATTTCCATGGCAGCATTTGCTTGTTCTTGGAGTATCCTAAACCCCCTGTCAGGACCCCTAAACTGATAGAGACAGTTTTGACTTGTAGGGAAAAGGTTTCGTCAATACAAGTACCAGTGCTTCACTAGATCATTTCAAGGCTTGTGAAAGTATATATTTCAGGGTCATCCATATTTTGGGGTCTTGGCCCTTGCATGTTTTGGTGGCATGAGTGCTCTGCACTGCTTTCTGTGTCCTGGGCAAGAGACGTTTCAGGCACTGCACCTCTCCTGCTCTGTGGCTGCTGGCTCTTCTCTGCCCTGCCTCTGGTGATGAGCCTGGATGCACGGTCCATGGCCACCTCTCCTGTTCCTGAGAGCCAGCTGAAAAATGCACTATAATCTAGTAAACTCCCCCTCGTGGAGAATAATGGTGGGGAGGCGGAAGGAAAATTAAAAAAAAAAGAAGATACAGGACTGTTTTGTCATGCAGGAAAACAGAATGTCAGTTGTTTTGCTTCAGCAAACTTGCGGAGAAGTAAATGAAGGCGGAATCTGTGACTGGTGCATGCTAGAGCCTGTAATAGTTTGCATTGCTTGTCTGGACTTTGTGCACACTCAAAAAGGAGGTGCTTCATGTGTGTACATTGTCCTCCTGTTTTCAAAGTCATTTCAACAGCAGATGATACTTCATTTTTAAAATCCTTCTCAGGATTCCTTGGCAAGGAGGAAATCATACAGCCAAAGACTGGGGGAATGCATTGCACCTGATAGTACTAGTGTAATAATTCTCATGTAGTCCTGAAGCCCTGTCTGAAGTGGGTCATTCTGTTGCAGTATTTGCTTTGTTTCTGGCTGTGCAGCTCTTTCATCTCTCACTTTATAGCTGGTTAATATTAACGTGTATACAAGCAAGCAGGAGAAGGAGCATTGTGGATTGAATTCGGATTTGTTCAGCTTTATTGTTTCTAAACTGAAAAGACTCTGAACTAGTTAGCATTTGTTTCAGTGCCTCTATGGGATGCATTTTAGGTTGGTCATCTGCCGTTGCATATTGCTCCTATTACAAAAGTTTCAGTGTAACGCTTAACTTGGAGTGAAACTGCCTAACTAGATGAGATAGAAAATTCTCATTTAGTGCCAGAGTTGACTTAAGTGCATTAGCCATGTTGGCAATATTGTAGAACCAGGTTGTTCTTAAAGCTTTATTTATTTTTCTTCCTCATTATAGTGGTCAAACTCCTGCTGAATCAGACTTCCAAGTGCTTGAAATTGCTCGGAAACTGGAGATGTATGGCATCAGATTTCACCTTGCATCTGACCGTGAGGGCACCAAAATTAATCTAGCTGTTTCACACATGGGTGTGCTGGTATTCCAGGTAAGGTGGGGAGGGCGGACTGGGTATGTGTGTCTGTCTTTCCATTAGCGTGTCTTGGGAGTAAGTCTCTCGTTTTAACTTTAGGTGGCTCTGATGATTTTAAAATTTAGCACATTTTTATGGTCAAGGGAGTTTCATTTAAGCCCCCAAAATATCGTTTCATGCAGTTTGTCCTTGTTGGTGCAGAGAGAAGAGCATCAAAACCAACAGTGACAGCGAAGTAGAAGGGTTTTTGTTGTCTGTTTGAAAGTTATGTATGTGTTCAGAGAAAATCATCATTTCATTTGGTACAGCCCTGGAAAAGGTCTGTAATCCTGGAATTTTGGTTCAGTTTCCCTTGTTTTAATGTTACAGTGTACTTTTGCTGGGATAACATTGCTCTTGGTGTATAGAAGTGCTGTTTCATTGAAGTAATTGGACCAATTAGAATTACTTTTAGAATTAGAATTACTTTTGTTGTATTAAATAAGCGACTTGATGATCAGAGTTCTGTTTATGAAAGCGATCATACTATTTTCCTCCCCCCAAAACACACAGCCAGCCAACCTACTGAAATATTTCCATTTGGGTACTTGTTTTCTGTTCATTTTGTGTCTTACCTGTTCTTTCGTTACTGCGGGGCAGCTTCTCTTCGGAGGTGCATCAGCCACTGCAGTCCTGCAGCTCCTCTTGATCCTCCTCAGTGGTCTCTCAGCCCCTGAGGTTTCCATCATTTCAGCTCATTTGGGTCTTTCCCTTGAAGTACCATTTTTTGTCTCCCTTTGCTCATAGAGGGTGACAGGAGAATTGCTGTGGTACTAAGTGCTGATGGGGTCCTCCCCTGAGGCTTTGGGAGTCAGTGGTATGGGGAGGGGAGGTCTGGTGTGGGGCAGCAGGGTGAAGTGAAGGTAGAGCCTGGTTTTAGCCAAATAAGCAGGCTTGTGAGCAAGAGAGCTTGGCAGGATTCCTCACGCGTGTGGCAAGCACTCTTCAGTATATTTTACTGCCAAATTAGAAAAATTGACTTGGAGGAGTGTGTCTAGAGTTCTGTCTGGAGGAAAAGGAAAGCATCGAAATAAAATGAAACCCTCATCTTGTTCATACCATAAAGTATCCTGAATGTTGATGGGGTTGAAGCATTCCTTTCCCATCTGGTTTTCTAGGTTTTCATTCAGTTTTCTAGTGTCTTTGCAGGACAGACAGACATCGCGCACTTGTAGCTATCCCTGTACTGAAAGATAAAATTGTTTAAGGGAATATTGTCACCAGAAATAAAAATCCAACAGAATGGGTTTGGGGGTGGTATGTGTATGTGTGCACATACACACGTCTATATGCCTGCAACAGAATTTTGTTTGCTGCTCTTACTTCTGAAACTTCTGCCAACTTTTAACTGTTACCATTTTAATTCAGGGTAATACGAAAATCAATACCTTCAACTGGTCGAAGGTCCGTAAACTAAGCTTCAAGAGGAAAAGATTCCTTATTAAACTCCACCCAGAGGTCTGTGTAAGTTTTACTGTAATAATAGGCTGGTCAGTGTTGAAAAAAAATACATATACTTAATTTTATTATGGAAAATTCTAGAGTTTGTAATTTTATAAAATGACTTCAGTGGGGTAGGCCTGACTTCATCATTCAAGTAAAAATCTTTCCTTTCTCACTTCATGTCCATCATCTTAGATTTTTAGGTTTCATGCGTCAGCCTCAGCTTATCCTTGACATAAGGATACACATGTGTAAATGTAAGATAAGAAAAAAAAAACCCCAAACCCAAGTATTTGGTGCATCCTGTCTCAGTACTTTAACTCTGAAAAAGTTACATTTAATATTTCCCTTGGATATAAGTGGAGGTTAACACTCTCATGAGCTCTCTGATCCATTATTGTCAAAATGAACTAAGGTAACTTAGTAATTGAAATAACTTAGTAATTGAAAAAAAACCAAAAAACTTAGTAATTGAAATAGTAAATCTCTGTTGTTTAGGTAAAAGTGTGTTAGGAAGTGCTTTTTGGCTGTAGCTTCTTAAAAGAACACTGTAGTGCACTGCTGATACAAACAGTGATTGCTTTATATGACTATTTCCTCCAGCTACTTGTTGAATATGTGCTGCTTGAATGAGAAATCTGGTAGAGAGTCCCTTGATTCAAATATGAATAACCTGATACACCTCAGGAAAGAGTAGATGGCTGAGATTATATTGTTGGAGCTTAATTTTAAGGACTGTGTGATTACTCTTGCTACAGCCTTATCTTTTCTGTATGTCTATATAGCAGAAGTGTTATTTTTCGTGCTTGGCTGATTTACAGTAGATGTTTTTGATTGCAAATGTCATCAAAGTTGTTATTGCTTCCACACTGGATGACTAGATTATGTTCAACATACGCTTGTATTAAAATGGGGGGAAAAAATGTTTGGACATGCTATAGTTATGTGTATCAAGGAAAGCTGAAGCAGGACACACTGTCTGCATGTGTAGTAATGTGTCTCACAAAGACACCCTCAGACATTTCATGTGATAACTGTACTCTGACATACACAATTTTTTCCAGTCTCCTCTAAATCTCAGGAAGTAAGACAAGCATCAGAACTTCTAAGGAGAAAGTATTTTAAAATCACTACTATTTCACTTAAATATTTTAATTTCTTTCAAATTCTTAACTTTATGATCCATATTTCTTAAGGTGGATTATATTGAGCATGTTTCTAAAGTCAAGTGCATTTTGAACACTTTTACAGTTTCAAGGTAAACAAATGTTTTTGAAAGCTATTAAATACCTTAAACTGCATTCAGAATCACTTCTATTGCTTTAAGGCATATGAGAAGTGACTTAGCAAAATACTGCATCTCACTGGAGTTCAGCCTTTTTGTTGGCACCTATTTGTACTTTCCTTTTCTCCTCCATTGCCATTAGCTATTTAGCTTTTGTGTTTTGTTCTCAGGGCCCGTATCAAGATACGTTGGAGTTTCTTTTGGGAAGTAGGGATGAGTGTAAAAACTTCTGGAAAATCTGTGTTGAATATCACACATTCTTTAGGCTCTTTGATCAGCCAAAGCCAAAGGCTAAAGCAGTGTTCTTCACCAGAGGGTCATCGTTCAGATACAGGTAGGGAGAAACAACAGATTTATTAAAGCTGAATTCCTTATATCGTAGAAAATGAGATCAAAAGGAAAAAGTATTCTAAAGCCATTCCATGCATAATTCTCATCCACTGCGTTTCATAATGTTTGTACTTTTGTGCTTTCACAGTGGACGAACACAGAAGCAACTAGTGGATTATATTAAGGACAGTGGGATGAAGAAAACCCCATATGAAAGGTAAATACAAATAGTTTTGTAAAGTGAAATGTAGTTGAGACTTTCACAGTGCCCTTATTTCCTAAATTTCAGTCTTTCTAAATGATGCTTGGAGGCATGGTCATTTGCTGACTTCTTAGTTACTAAGGTCTTCCTCAAATTTAAGGTAGCTGAACTAAATTTAGAAAAAAATATAATTTTTTGATGATGTAAAGAAGGTTAGGAAAGTTTCAGTATTGCATTTTAATGTCCGTGGATAATGTGTGACTTAGCCATCTAAAAGTTCAGTATGTTTTGAAGATTCACTGAAATTAGTGAGGACTTGTCTGTATGTCACTGTAGCTATGCAACTAGCCAGTGGCAGAGCACATAATTGAACTTGGGATCTGCAAGTCTGAAACTGTGACCTTAAATACTCATTCATTTCTAAACATATAAATGAATTAAGAATGTGCATTTTAATTATAGAATTGTCATTTACTTTGATATGAAACAATCCTGTCTACATGTGGGAAACCCTTCATAGTCTTTGATCTGAAAGATTATAGGAACTTAACAGGAAATTTAAGAAATCTGCCTTAATCTACTATTAATAAATATTTTTAATGTCTAGGACTACAGTTGAGCTCTTTTCTGTATGAAAGATTGATTTTCTAGTAAATTATTGACATAGAATGAATCTAACCACAAGTGTGATACAGGATACCACTTTTTGGGGTGTAACATATGTTTATGTGCCATAGATTATAGGGTTGACTGAATTGTAAATTGTTTGTAAAATTGTTACAGATGAACTCACTCTGGTTTTGAAACCATTCATTTGTAGATGTTTATACTGGTGACAAAGGAAGAAGTTAAACTAAGTGTGCTATTAGGTCTAGTCTTCTGCCCTGAGTTGCTCTTGAGTTCTCTTTCAGTGGTATGAATGACCTGGATCTAGCTTGATTCAATTTTCTGTATGTTTCTTACTCCTGCGTTGTTTAATTTACAACTCTTGTGACTTTTAAAATCTTGAACTAGTTATTAACAAAACATGATAAAATACAGCCTGAGATGTTTCTGTTGGCTACTAGAATGGAAATAGCTGAATGGGGAAGGGAGAAGGCTGATTCATGGCTTGGAAACTCACAGGATGCTCTCTGTTCTGCAGGAGGCACAGCAAAGTCAGAGCGTCCACTCGCGCTTCGAACACCGACGTGCCAAAACAGGTCAGTTCTGCAGTACTCTTGATACTGTAGTCAGGGAAGCTGACAACCAGCTTTCCAAGATGATGGTGAAAGGAAAGGTCATCTGAGTGAGCTGTTTGTCTGTAATCACTTTCACCGTTTGATCTCTGTCCCTGATGCGCAGTTTTTCTTGTTTTTGCGGGTGGTATCGGTTTTGGTAGTTGTAGACAGTGGAGTCTAAAGTGAGTAATATTTTCCTTTTCGGAGTTCGGCTTAACTGAAAAGAAAATGTCATACTTTCTAGTATGTTGTTATTTCAGAGGATCGGTTTTTCTTCAGGTACTATCTAACTGCTTTCTGTGGAAGTGTTGAGTTCATTGTATAGATGCCTTCTTCAATCAGTGGCAAGAAATAAGTGTTTCACTGAATGCACTTGCTTTACCTGCAGGAGGTTAAGGAAACATCACAGGATTTCACTGTCGTTGTTTTGTATTACTTTCCCTTATGAATGCTCTTTCAGCAGAGGCTATAAAATACATGGATTTAATTTTCCATCCAGTTACCAGAATTCAGGAAGAAAGGTCTTGCCTTTTACTGGGGCTGCTGGATCTGTTTCTGTATGCAATGTTTTGTTTGCTGTAGAGTGAGCTCTTTTGAAGCATGTATGCCTTCTGCATCAGGAACTGGGTGTTGTATTTGTTTTTATATATTATAAAAATCTTTTCATCTGTTGTGTTTCTACTTTTTTTTCCTCTTAGAGTGTCCCATTCACTGAGGGCTTGAGAACCCCAGGGTCTCCTGCCTCAGCAGCTGTCCCCTTCCACTCAGTTCACTCATCGTCCACTCCTACTCCTGTCCTGCCCATCTTTGCAGAAACCAGCCCTTCCTCTTTGGACCCCCGAGCACCATACACAAGGATTCCAGAAAAAAACACTGCAGCGCCAGCAGAAGCAGCAGGGAGGAAACTGATGCAGCAGCCTGGATCTCCCATGCTCCAAGGTGTTGGGTTTGGTAGTGTTGCAGGAAACTGTAACCCTGCTTGTCCTGTTGTTGAGAGTGGTTGTGGTTTAGATCTAGATGTAGAGAGGAGTAGTAGGGAGAGCAGGGTTGCTGTTTGTAAAAATGACAATGATGAGGATGACTTTACCACAGGTGTTTTTGTTGCTGAACAAGAGCATCAGCACAGCAGTCGGGGTGCCCCTCTTTTCACATTGACAAATTCACAGTTACAGGTGTCAGAGGAATTTATTGATGATGACCCAGCAGAAATTTCCTTTTTTGCTGGGGGCTCTGAGGCATTTTCATACGTGTACAGTGGTTTAGAGTTAAAGGGCTCTGATTTCTCTAAACGCGTGTCGGAATTGCCTGGCTTAACTACAGGTGCCCTTCAGCAAAATCCAGTCTCTTCTCAGTCAAGCCCTGACAGGTACTCAACTGAAGCAGTAGATATGAATATGGAAGATGAGTTTGAATTTGAAGAAGGGAGCGATTTCAACGGCAATGAGAGACCATCAGATACTTCAGAGCTGTTTGAGGTGAAGGCCCAAGCAAGCAGAATGCAAAGCCTCCTGAGCCCATCTGAAACGAGTTCGCTCATCAACAACCGCTCCGAGTGCAGCTCCCTCAATAATTTGCCGCTGAACGGTACGTCCTCCCTGCACGCGTACAGCTCCACAAACCATTCAGAGGCCAGTTCCATGGTGAACTTCCCCGCCTACTCAGTCCGCTCCGAATCCAGCTCCGCTTTTCAGTTCACGGACATTATTGACCAGCTGGAACAGCTGAGCTATCCGCCTACCACCACAGAAGACTCCAGCAGCACAGACACGGACTCCTGGGACTCTGAAACTGCTGCGCCACTGGATGTAAACCTTTTCTTTAGTAACCCTTTTGCTCAAGCCGCTGGTGATAACTTTGCTTTTGACTTTCAGAATAATTTAAAAAATCTCACGCAAGAAGACTGGACAGAGAAGGCACATGTCAATTGATTGATTCTTGATTTTTGCGGTGGATCCCTCTATGCTGTTCAGGCTTAGAAGTCAAAAGGATATGATGTCAGTCACTTTAAGCAAGAAAACTAACCAGTGCTGAATTTTAAATCACATAACGTAGTTGATTTTTAAAAATTTTTTTTTCACATACCTCTTCAGTTTCCCTCAAAGCATCCTAGTTTTGTTGTTGCATTATATGCATCACACTACATCCAGAATGTGTTATAAAAGGCTACCATGTTCGCAAAATACTGCGTTTAGGAAAAACCACTGATTTCAGAGAAGTTAGGTATCATCAGCTGGCTCATGCAGACATCACAGATTACAGTATATTGAAGGATTTCTTTGGCTATAAACATATCTATAAGAGTCTGATATAATACGCTGTTCCTCCAGCACCCGAATGCAACAGTCACTTTTGCATATGCTTGTTAACAAGCAGCGGCATCCAGTAAATTAGCTGTTTTTCTGTGCTGCAGTGAGAGTCCTTGTTTGGCTTTTTTTTTTTTTGTTTTCACAATCAAAAAAATGATCAATCTTCAAATCAGCTGTGAAGGAAAGTTTTAAAATATCAACCTATGCAACATGTCTGCGGTATACTTTGAAGAGAAAATAACCTACGTGGTAGTTTAGAAGAGGGAATGTGTACACAGTTAAATGAAAATAGCAGTTGCCAAAACTTCTTGTGATGACAATCATTGTATTTTCTGACCTCAAAGTGCCTTCAGCAGCTCAGCAACAAACAAGTACACTTCTGCTTTGCTGCAGTTTGGAGATATATGCATAGACTATAAAAGCACTTAATCCCCATTGCGTTTTGTCTCACCTTCTTTTTCTTTATTTAATCACTCTGCATAAAAATGCTTACAAAATAATTCATAAAAATGTCCTTTATCTGTGGAAGACAGGTGGTGGTAAACCTAGTGATAGCTTTAACTTCTTCTTTAAAATATGGGCTGTATTCAGAAAAATACCATAATCTTTCTGAGAAATTGAGATGTTAGGAGCAGTGAATACTGTAGCCAACAGTTAGAGCTTCACTGCTTTTACAAATTTTTTTTAGTCAGGCAACTGAGGTGAGACTTGATCTGTAAGTTTGAAAGCTTAATTGAAAAGACAGTTACTGAACTGGTCACATCTAATTTAGCAACATTTATTGAGGTGAAACAGTAAAAGTTGTGAAATGTCCTTCCTGTCTGCCAACGTGGTGGATTGGAGGGGGGTGTGAAATTCTGAGCTTCAGCTGGAAATAACATTTTTTTAGAGTATTATGCTTTTGTACAAGCAAGAATGTGTAATACATAACACCTAACCAAAACCTTGTAATGGAAAGCATCATCTCCTTCAGCCATTGGGATTTGGGGTTCCCTGTTGCCCAGCTCTCAGTCCTTTGCAGAGCGAGAGCAGTACTAGTACAATCAACACCTCCAAAATAAGCAGTTTACAGTTACAAGTATAACTTTATGCTCAATATTACTCATATCAGTTTTCTTAAATGTGGTCGTGATATATCATTAAAAGACCTTCATTCTTTAATCAAATGTTTAAAAACCACTATTTTTCAAAATTCTGATAACTAAAACTTCAAGGGAATTCCTCTCAATGTATGCTAGAACATGAGGAGATAAAACCTCTTCTAGTTTAGTTTTTTCCAAGTATGATTATTGTTCACAGCACTAGCTTTTATGTTGTGGTTACTGTGTTTGAGTGGAATCACCGTTGTTCCATGAGAAACTTGTTGCCTTTGCCAGTGGCACAGAACATCAAAGCACATTTAGTACAAAGTATTAGTTTGGACCTACAGGAATGTATAGCAGTTTGATTGCTCTTTTTTTGTTTATAAATGCTATATGTTACTTTTTTTTTTTTTCCTTCTGTTGAATGTGTGTTCTGGCTCTTTGTGTGACTTTATTGGTACCTGTGGAGATGATGTTGTGGATGTGTAATGTGACATTTCTAAATAGGCACTTGGAGGAGGTCTTCACTTGTGTCCAAAGCTGGTACCTTTAACTATGTTTTTAGGCGGTTTGTCTGATTTCATTCCCACAGCTAACTATGCTATGTAACTTAAAAAAGAAAAAGAAAAACAGAAAAAAGGCAGAATTCTCTGCAAACTCTCTTACAAGTGGTAGTCAGGGACAAATATGTGGATAAACATCTAGAGAAAGGCTGTTAATTTCTTTGATCTTTAAAAAAAAAAATCAGGATTCAGCTATTTACATATAACCATGTCTGCCTCCATTTCATGTTCTGTGCATCAGGCACAAGCATTCTCTCTAAATGTGTTAGAATTGCTTAATATGGGAATAAATCCAACTAAATTCTCTAGATTTTCAAAAGATCTTGGGAAAAAGCTGCCTGTATTTTCAATAAACACGCTTGGCAATCCTGAGAGAAGGCTTGCCAGTACATTTTCTTGCATTGCAGTTAGTTTGAAAAGGCGTCTTCAGTGTTTCTTTTGTATTTTGCAACTATGCAGATCTTTTATTGGCAATTTTAAATCTCAGGGATTAAAAAAAAAGTAATAAAGAGTTTTAATGTAATGCCCCTTTTGTTTTCTAAAGGAATGGGAGTGACTAGGATCTCTCTGTCCTTTAGCTTAGAGCAAGATGTGTGTGGATCCACAGGTGAGGACAGGGTGGTGGGGTGGGGAGAGCTTTGACCTGGATATGGAGCTGTTCAGATGAAGTTTTTTGGTTATGGGTTTTACCAGGAACACTGAGCCTTCACATCATCAGACTCCCCTGTATACCTGGATTTGGGGTGCTTGTGCAAAAACAATGCTGGTCAGCAACTACAAGCCGATATCCCCTGCTGGGATTGCACACTGCGGTGTACTTGCAGGTTGTGTGAGAGTTCAGTGCTGCTGCCTGTGTCCCTGCCACCTGCGAGTTATATCTTTGCTGTTGCTAATTGACAACATATAGCTGTTGTGGTTTCTGTCTGGGCTTTTGTGATTTTTTGAAGCTATAGGGCTTCTGAGGATATAGTTGCATGCTTAGCTCTGTTGTTTTATTCATGGTTTCCCAGATAGGCACAAAAGAGGATAAAATTTAGTTCGTAAGTAGAGTTTTTATTATAGCAAGAAAGCTGTGAGAAAAGGTTCTTCATTTCCTCCAGAGGGATAAGTTCAGATTCACTTTCCAATAGAGATGGAGAGAAAAACAGACTGCCTTCAAGAGAACGGGATGGCCCAGTGCTTCACAGTGAATTCAAGCACCAATTGGGAGTTATTTTAGTGCAGCAGAGCCATGCCAGGCATCCTCTTCGCCCCCAGCTGTCTCTTGCGGTGGCGGAAGATGAAAGAAGGAAGGGCTTTCTGTTCTCTGTCTGTATTGTCTTTGAGTAGCGTAAGGGAATTGGTGAACTTTGGTACAGTGTGGTTATGTCCTGAGTACCAGCGATGCTGCTAAGCTTTCAGTGTTACTCCTTAAGGTTTGTTTTGTTTTCTCTTTACAGTGTTGATACTACTAAAACTTAGTTCCCGGTACTGATTTCTGTTTCTTTCCTGAGCACACAAGTTTTCTTTTCAGGAAGGTGAGTAGGATGCTGGCAGGTGGGGAGCTGGTGCCAGCCACCTAACCGAGAGAGCTGGGACCCTTGCAGACCCCGAGCAGCGAAAGCTGCTGTGGGAATCACATGGCATGAGAAAGGGGGGAGATTACGTAGGAAAAATCAGAAGATCTTTGTCGAGTATCCCATGCATGCTCACCTTGAGAAGAAAGCGTTTTGAGGAGCTGTGGTAGGAGCAGATGAAAGCCTAGGTGCAAACCTTCACTTGTCCATGGCAAGTGAGTGGTCATCCTCTCCTCCCCCTGACACTGTCACTTCTGCAGGTATGTTCTTTCACGTTTGCTTTCTTCCCCCATCTGTGGGAGGCTGGGGAGGGACATATATAGGTACTTAAATTTCTAGTCAACATACAGGTTTTAGTGCTGTGTTTTTCCAGTATGGAGAACCACTGGGGTTTTCAGGCTTGTTCTGCTCCAGACTGTGCATCCACCAGCT